GAAACATCTACATGTCTTTTAAATACCTCCCAGGATGGTAACTCCACCACTTCCCTGGGCAGCCTGTTCCAACGCTTGACAACCCTTTCAGTGAAGATATTTTTTCCTAATATCCAATCTAAACCTACCAAAGAGAATTTGAGACCATTTCATCTCATCCTATCTCTTTCACTTGGGAGAAGAGGCCAACCCTCACCTTTCTAGAACCTCCTTTCAGGTAGTTGTAGAGAGCAATAAAGTTTCCCCTAAGCCACCTTTCCTTCAGGCTAAACAACTTCCACTCCCTCAGCCACTCCTCATAAGACTTGGACTTTAGATTCTTCATCAGCTTTGTTGACTTTCTCTGGACACATTCCAGAACCCCAATGTCTTTCTAGCAATGAGGGGTCCATAACTGAACACAGGATTCAAGGTACAGCCTCACCAGTGCTGGGTACAGGGGGATCACCTAGTCCTGCTGGCCACACAATTTCTGATACAAGCCAGGATACCATTGGCCTTCTGGGTCCCCTGGGCACATTGCTATCTCATGTTCAACTGACTGTTGACCAATACCTGCAAGTCCTTTTCCATCAGGCAGCTTTCCAACCATTCCTCCCCAAACCTGTAGTGCTGTATGGGGTTACTGTGACCCAAGCACAGGACCTGTCCCTGCGCTTTGTTGAACCTCATACAATTACCCTCAGCCTACTGATCTAGCCTGTCCAGATCGCTCTATGGAGCCTTCCTACCCTCCAGCAGATCAACACTCACATAACTTTGTGATCACCACACCTCAGATGGCCTCCAAACATCACATCCGTCACAAGTCTTTCTCTGTTCGCAAAGAACAGGTCCAGCAAGGCCATTTCCTCAGTGGATTCCCTCACCAGCTGTGTCAGGAAGTTATCTTTCACACAGTACAGGAACCCTATTGACTGTTTTCACTCCACTGTATTCTATTTCCAGCAGATGTTTGGTAAGTAGAAGTTCCCCAAGTCAATGTAATTGAACTATTACCCTGCATATGTGTCAAAAAAACTGCATGATCCAATAGCAAGGGTGTTTGGCTCTCCCTTATATGAACAGATGATTGCGAACAGCACAGAATTTCAGGATACTAATGTATTAAAATACATATAACCAACCAACCAAACCCAACCCTTAACAGTTGACAGATTTTCGAAGATTAAAAAATAAAGGGAATGCCTATTTATTCACTTCCTGAGCTAGAGACATCTGGAAGGGAGAAAGGACAGTCCTCAATAGAAAACATCTCCATGACCAAGAAAGCTTTCTGCAAAGAAGAACAGAAGGATTCCCAAAAGGGAATAGAAGTGTAACTGGGATGAATGGGGATTCTAGCTGAGGGCTTATGGAGTGCTGTTCCAGAATAACAGATGATCAGAGTAAATGCTTTTTTGCTTGACTGGTACAATCCTGATAATTAAAACAGTCTTCTTTCCTGCAGAAAAGACAGTCCCCTTCACAGAAATTCAGACTTATTCAAGGAAATTAATTGACAAATTCTTAACATTTTATATGTTTAAATCACCAGTTGTGAAATCCTATTCCTTTGAAACAAGAACTTGCTGTAACTGAAATATCCAGCTTACATCAGAACTGGAATTTGCAAGTGCATAGGAGGGTCTAGTGAAGAGGGGAATTCAATAACTTTCTTGGGGAAAATTTGCAAGTTCAACTCTTTTAATTCACCAGGCATTTATATACGCGCTTTTAAAAAATGTAACTGACTTTTTTTGACCAAGAAAGATTTTTTAAATTCCTTTTTTGATTTTGACACATAATTCATTAGTGTTATTTAAATACAAATTTTATATGTTCAGGATGATTATTGATGCTTTGTTTTCTTCCAAGTTATCCCATTGGGCCATAATGTATGATTTGAGACCAGTCTGTTTAGACAGTTTTAGGATATATATAATCACACTAATTTATTCAATTCTATTTGTTTCCTTGGAGGTTTCTCAAATACTTTGAGGCATTTTACTTCTCTGTCTTTCCCTTCAAAGTCACAATGAATTCCCATTAGAGGTATTGTAAGAATATATCCTCAGGGTTATGATTTATTCTTAGGCAGACTGACTAAAACTTAGTTTTCTTCTATCTCACTATTACTCAAGGGAGATTTCAAAATGTTAAGCCTCATTGGCTTAGATTCAAAGGGAATTTAGGAGCTAATGCATCTCAATACCTAATTTTTAAGCACTGGTCCCAAGGATGGGATCATAAAGATCCCTATATGATTCATTAGAGAAGTCAGACATCTTAAAATAAGCTACAAAAAAATGTGCATGCTAAAGAGGGATCTACGTACACATTTAATTCTTCTTCTGTTTTGAGAAGATACAGCCTATGACTCTCACTTGTCCTGTCCCAGGGAACTATTCTATCTCACCTATTCTGGATGCCAGGATGAACATATCAGATATATATTGAAAATGTTTTCACTTTACATAGAGTAAGAGATACCACTTACTCAAGAAGGAGTAGGCTGCTAGATTTTAATCTTGTGATAAAAGCCTTCAAGAAAGGTGTGAGAAAGCCTGAAAGCTGTATTTTCCAAGATTTACCTTGACATTTCATTCACTGACTTTCATTTGTATCACAGATGCCTTGGTTATGTTTATGGTGGCAAGTAGAATGGACTAGGACTAACATGGATATGATTAAATTTTCATTTGTCCCTCATACAGGAGGCCTTATCCATAGTGCTTGGCAGGAATATCCTTAGCTTTTTTCAAAAACTTTTGTTATTTGTTCTTCTTCAAATTACTTTGCACAACCTGCAAAGGCATTAGCAATCATGAACCAAAATGGTTAAAGAGCATCAGATCCTCAACTTTATGTCCTGAACATTAAGTTTACTAGTATAAGTATGACCATTATGGCCTAGGATGAAATGCAAGACCTGATTTTCAGGGGAAAGCATTACTATTACACAACTGTTAAGAACTGCTGCCTCTTATTTTCACTTTAGCCTGGCAAGTTTATTCCCCTAGAATAGGTGGTGGATGGGGGGCACATCACTCACTTTTATGTAGAAAATAGATATGAAGTTGATTTCCTATAGAGAAGACCAAAAAACAACCCCAACCAATAAAAACAAACCAGTTTTCTCACATTTTAGAGGAACAGTGTAATACAAAAGAGAAATTTCAAAATGGGTTTGAGTAAAAGTCTTGATGAGAAACAATCTGAGAAACGATTTTATGAATCCTAATGAGGCAAGGACAAGAGAAGTGAATCAAGCTATCCGGTTAAAACAGATGAATTTTTGTTCATATGCAAAGGCAGAAGGTCAATGCAGTGGATGAGGTTTTCAGGATCATAGTTCTGTGCTAATACCTCTTTTCTAGTGATTATAATTTTATTTTTGTTAATTTATTCCATGACTTCAGATTAGTATAAGAAATCTCTTCCCTATTTCAGACTGATCTGCATTTTAGTCAGATCTGATGATTCCTTCTGATGTATGAACACATGCAAGCAGGAAAAGGATAAATGTGCATACATCTTGTGCTCTGATGCCACGATGGTCCTGCAGTGTCCAGGAACAAACAGTGAGTCCCACAAATAAAAGAGTCTTAAACTGGACTGTCTTTGCTTGACTTGTAACCTGAATAACTCTGGTTTGTAAGGCAGCTACTTTTTTCAGGTGCAGTCAGGGTAAAGGAAGTATTAGATACCATGGAAAATGTTATATAGACAGTAACCCTAAACAGTCACACAGTGCATGCTCCATTTCAGGAAGATACATGCAGAACATATATGCAAAAAAAAAGGAAATATAACACAAAGACTGCTAGTCAAAACCAGAAATACTGTGTGCATTGTAAAACCTTTGACTTAACATTTAGAAAAAAGCCCACTGTGATTATAGTCTAATGCTAATGGAAACATTCATGTAATTCATATTTATGACCTTAGTGAGAACCAGTTCAACTTGAGTACAGATGGCCAGACATTTCCCAGGGAAATATTTTCACTGAAAAACATTTCACTGGGTCTGAATGCTTTGATTGACTCTTCTCAGGTTTGACTACATTTTGCCAAATCAAAGGCAAATCCTCCAGTCCTGCCAGGCAGCTTCAAAGCAATCAATCTACTGCTGCCAAGTTTGGCAGGTCTGGGACCGACCAACCAGAATATTTCCAGAACAGAAAACCTGAAAGCTTTGACTGTCAAAAGCTGGGATAGGTTCACATAACTAATTTGTTCTGGGTCAATCTACATAATGGATTTGCCCTGGAATTACTGACCCTGGAAGCAGTTGGGTATGGTGTTTCCAGGTCTGGAATGAATTGTCTGGTAACTGAACAATTACCAAGATCCTGTGGCTTGAGATTCTACAGAGTGGGGCTGATGGTCTTAATAAAGCCTCCTTAGAGTCTGTGAGGCGCAGTGCAGAAAAGCTCTGAAGGGTTCAGGTGATCTCTTAGGCATTGCAAGCTGTATGCAAAATCCAGGACCTAAAAGCCCCCATGGGCTTTTCCATTCTGCCTTTTAATCTTGTCTGCATGGTGAAACATTCTGAAGACTTCCAGAGCTGCTCAGCAGTGCTACTTGTCAATTCCTCTAGTCTGGTGTCTTAGGCTCAAATGTGGCACTTTCAGAAATTCTTCTTTTATGGAAACCTATATGTATATATATGTTTACATATACATATATATGTGATTATATATAGAAGCACAGATACACATATACATACATGTATATATGCACACATATATGCATACATATAAAAAGATACATCTATGTATGTATGTGTGTTTGAATTTAATTCCAGGAAGCAAGTCAGTCTCAGGGACCCAATAACAAGAAACCATTAAAAAGGGTAATCTCCACAAAATGTCACACTTATGGAGGCATCTAATGAATGCAGAAAAGCCACCAAGTAGTCTGTTCTATATAGCAATAGAGACACCACAATACAAAAGATGCCTTTATTTGTAAGAAAAGTAATGTTACAAAAGTAAAGAAAGCAATCTGGAATAAGAAGCATACTTTCATTGCTCTTCTCAGCTACAGAAGTTTTAAAGGCACATTCTCTATTTTTTTTTTTGCCCTTAGATTATTTTATTATTGCAGTCAAACTTCAAATCAAATTTTAAAGGAACAATTCTCTGAGTTTTTGGTCACTTATCTCTTTTCTCTCTCTTAGCAGGGCACTCCATTTTTGAATTTAGCTGAATCAGCATGAATCCAACTGTGAACTGTAAAACAGTTTTGGAAAACCACTCAGTATTTCATTTCAATGTTAGCACACAATGCCATCCAATATCAACCCCACAAAAGTATTATAGCTTGTAAAGCAGATTTCTAAAGGTTTATTTCCACATTTGACATGTGATTTTTATCTGACTCATTCAAACAACTCCTGCACAAAAGGAGGAAATCAGTATTGTTAGGATTCTAAGTGTATTCACTACAGTTTCTACTTCTGTTATTCCTTTTCTTCTAAAAAGCAATAAGAAATTTCATTAGTTCTAAGAACTGAGTGTTAAACACTAGGTATCTGGAAAAAGATAGCTTAAAATAAAAATTTTAAGTAAATTAAAACCAAACTGAAACACAACCAAAGAGAAAAAAACCCCACCGCTGCTGACTCCTCGTGTTCTGTTAATTGATGTCCTTTAATGAGTCTTAATTACTTAAAATGAACAAGAAAATCTGAAATATTTCTGCATTTCTGGAGTATTTTCATGATCTATATATAAAGAAGTCTATTGCATTTATGGAAGAATACATATCTAGGTATTAACAAGTTGTGCTGATGGATAATAGAAGAGCAAACAAGATTAATTAATTAATATTAGGCAACTCAGCAAGTTGGTGCCAAGCCAAAGAAATTGAAACTCCTTTATTTAATCCAGGTGTAAGATCACTCTTTGGGAAATGGCAAAAACACAGCACCTTTAGTATCTCAAGGTGTAGGGATAGTTGAAACTTTGGAAGAATTTGTAACAGAAAGCTACAACTCATTTTGCTTAGGAAGACTGCAAAATGCCTTCTCAAAAAGGTTAGATTTTTTTTTCCTTCTGCAGAGGGAGTTGCAGAGAGAAAGCTGTGTTATCTCTCTCTGCTATGCTGGAGAGAGATAAGCCTCACAAACATGTACAAGGCCCCAGCAGCTGAGAGAAGGTGTGAAGGACAGGGAAGAGAAGACAGAAGGTCCTGGAGAGGACGGGGTCTTGCCTTTTCTCCCTGGTGCCCAGTGCTTCTACAGCACTGAGAGGTATTTGTAAGCTTTTTGTGCTCTAGCCTTCTAAATAAACTTTTTGAATTCTTTCCACTGCCTTGGCATTTCTGGGGATACCTGCATATCTTACCTTACACAAGGGTTGGTCTCAAGAAAATGTTGTGTAAGGGTAATAAAAAGGGCAAAGTACTGCAATGAAAACAACACTTAAAAAATAAAGTAGGGATGATATCCTTCTGGGCTTGTAGGTTAGGGAAGAAAGGATGTCAAAGTTTACCTAGAAGTTATAAAAATTCGTTGGTTGAACATATGTGAGATAGCGGGATAACTTATTGGAAAAAAAAGCTGGGGATACAAGACCCATCTTAATTGTTGTGGAATTTCTTGCTTCAGACAGAACATAATGAAAAAGATTTATTTTGCATTTAAAATAACAATAGAAGAAAGAGCTGGAAGAAATGGGGGATCCTCTGAAAAGTTTAGCAAATATAGTTTAGCTCTGCATTGAAATATTTTGCCTTCTTTTGGATGAGTTTGATAAATGAACATTTAAAAAATACAAGAAATGACTTAGTGACCTTAAACTGGGACTTTCTGGCTGAAAAGTACCCACATTACTGAAAATGCTTCAGACAGTAATCTGTAGACTAGTACATGTGTTCATACACTCTATTGCTATCCTATCTGAATGTCACAGTGCCACATGCACCAAAATGGGATCATGAAAATACACAAATGGCTTAGCTGATCTCATCTGGACTTAGAAAAGTTCAGATAGGCCTGACCTGCACTAATATATTGCAAAATCCAAAGGAGACTGAACCTACATATAAACAGCTACCTATAACTTCAGCTTCAGATCTGAAGTCGGAGGCAATATATCTAAAATAAAAAAGTATCATAAAGTTAATAGTTTGGGCACTAAAGTTTTCTTTCATTACTTCTTTCCTCAGTGGTGAAAGTAATAGCTGGTTTTGACCTCATGACAGCTCAGGAGACAGGTGCCAGCCAAACAACACAGAGGATTTCATCATTTTCATTTTAGGAAAACTGAAGGAAGATCACACGCTGGGCAGGAAAGCATGAAGATTGCTTGATAAGATTCCATTAAAGTGAGCTGACAGCAAGGTTAGAAGTGAACTGGGAAAACCTCACCCGGGTAATATCTGGGAAAGAAACAATCAGCTTGACATTTCACATTATCAAAATGAAAGTCAAGTGTTCCTTTTTAAAGGCAGTACATCCAATACTGGGATCCATCTAACGCATTCTGACTGAAGAAATCATTTTCTTCCTGTGGTGAACATGACAGAAGAAAAGTTCTAAAATCACACTAAATATTGTAAGAAGTATTGCTGTAAGTGTTCTGTATCTTGCCTTGCTGCATGATGATATTCAAAGACTCATTTAACTCCATTTTTGATTTTTTTTAATTTAAATATTCTGTCATAGCCTCATTAGCATCTGATTACTAAGCAGTTAGTTAAGGAAAAGGACAAAGAAGGAAAATTAGATGCAACATTATAGGGCATATTTTCACCTTGATGAGCAAGAGAAACTCATTAGGGGTTACTGAAAGTCATACACATGCTTCAGAGGAATAATGTCCTCAAGGTATTTTGTAATTATTAAAATGCTAAAGAAACAATATCTATTTTTTATAGATAAAAGAGCAATTTGTCAATAACAGATAGGAATACATGTAAGGAAAAAACTATACAGACAGGAGAAATATAATTAGACAGTTAAGGAATTGCTTTTTTTTGATGTGATGGAAGGAAAAAGGAATTGTAAGAATAATATAACTGTAATTTGAAAGCTAAAATTTTTAAATGTATACAGAAATTAGTAACAGTTTCTTCACTGCCTGGCAGGGGCTTCTGAATGTTTTCTTCTATTCCTTTTTGGAAGGGAAGGAGGATGTGGGATTTGAAAGAAGTAGCTGAGTACTGCTGAACACCAAACAAAATGCATATGTGATCTGACCAGATACAAACTAAACCCTCTGGAAATGAAACAATACTGCATTAAGTTTTCAAGCAGGAAAGGCACAGCCTCCATTAGCCATGTGTGTGGTGCTTCAGTGCTCTGCTGGGAGACAGAATATGCAGTGTTTGCCAGGATCAGCTTCAACTCCCATCACTCTCATATATCCGCACACACATAGCAGACGAGTTATTTCCCCTTAAATTCATATTATCATTGACTTAGTTTTGGATTATGAATTTTTTTCTAGTTTGCCAGTGACACACTGACTCAAACACTTAAAAAACCATCAAAATCTGAATAGCACTGTCAGCAAAATGGTTTTATCAGAAAATACAGAGAAGTTTTGTTTCCCACCCACTATCATTAGCTTAGCCTTGTAGAGGAACTAAAATCACCCTATCAGCTTAAATTCATGAAAAGGGTAAGCTCCTGAACAGCATTTAGAAACATTTGGGCTCAGGTGAACTATTTTTATTCACACATGCTGCCTTCTGAAATCTAGACAGTTTGTACAGAGGTATTCTCAGCTCCAATTTACCAGGGCAAGAACTTTTAGCCCTGACATTTATAGAGAAAGTAGCATAACCTGTTCTGACCTTTCAGGAGACACTCCTGAAAGAACCAATACTTATGGGTCAATGACCATCATGTACACTCTGTTGATTTGCAAAGTCTTATTAATATACATCTGTTTCCTTTCTGAATTATTTATTTCTTGACCAGACACAGGATTACCCTACAGTCCATTTAGGAGTTTATTTCTCTTTGTTTGCTACTACACCATGGCCACAATGCATCTGTAATAAATGTTGCCTTTTTCACCAAATTCATCTTGAAGACAAATATATGAGATCAACCACAAGAGCTCCTCAGTAGCAGCAGTGTGTGATTTAAGGATCAAATTAGGTTCTATTCTTCCTGTGAAAATGTTAATGGTCATCACATAGAAGTGTGTAACGGCTTCGAAAGCAAAGGGTGATGAGAAAAGGTTTTGAGTATTAAAAGTGACAAGCTGGCAGCACTGTATTCCCTCTGTAAGGAGAGAGAATCTCTAGCTGCATCCGAATTAGTAACATTTTGATGCTCGGTCACATGTTACTTTTGCCAAAGCTGTGCAGTTAGTGCAGCTGCCCTTCCACAGAGAGATCTCTAGGAACATTGAAGTCTCTGCGTGCAAGAACATGAGGATAAAACTAAGCCAATATTTTTTATTAATTAAATTTTAATTATACAAGAGGACCTACAATAACTATACCAAATAAAGTGAACTGAGAAAAATACAAAAGCCAAAATGCAATCATTGTATAAAGTATATTTTATAAATTTTATATTCTGCATTTTTAGACAATTCAAATAAAAACAATGCAAAGTAAACAACAGGAACAGAAGTAAGCCACTGGGAACACATAGAAAATGTGTAGGTAAATGTAGATAAATGTCACTCTGAGCCAGAAACCCATCCCTGTTGAACAATGATGTTTCTATCTCAGACATTGTTTCAATAGCCCCAATAACAAAATTCCTGCCACAGCTTGCAATTCCACATTCCCCTCATTATTCAGACCAGTAGATATCATGTCATTTGACAGTGGAACATTCTCGTACCTCCAAAGATAATAATTTATGGACTGTAATGTTGTAAAGCATTACAGATTAGCGCTGAGTGCTGCTGGAATGGGTTCTTAGTTCTATCTCCCCAGTTAAAAGCAGAACCAATCAGACTTAAGCAAAATTAAGTCTTTAAATCAAATTTCACAAATGGGAAATATTGGTTTGCTAAGTTATTTTGATTCAGTAATCATTTTGATACCAGAATGAATCAACAAAGAAACTCTTGGGACAGGCAAACAATTTTTTTCACTACTGTGACTCGAGAAGCTACTAATGCTGTCCACAGGAATAATGCAATTGACTGTGTGTAAAATCACAATAGTGACAGTAGTGGTCTGGAAATAACTGTTTTGAAATAAGCTAATTTAGGTGCCAGCTGCAGATTAGCAGAGTTTTATGTATGCTTTCAAATGTGACAAGCTATGCAATGTCAAGCCTGTATGGTTACTGCAGATGTCTCTAGTTTTCTCAGCTGCTTTTACGGCCACTTTGCATTGCAATCACATTGCACAGTGGGGCAGTCTGAGTGCAGCGAAAGGGTTTATGAGGAATCAGTACTTGAGTATGGGGTCTTCCTCATAGTCCTGTAACATATGTAGGAGGAATTTGAAACCAGGATGGGTAATGTCATTAAATAATTTATTTGCACCCAGTACTTCAGTGTGCAGATTCCTATAAAACATGTGGAAAACAATCCTGCAAGTAGCCTGTTTCCAAGAAAGCACATGGCCTCAGGTTCCTGCCTGTCCTCTTGCTTCAGTGAGGTTGAAATCTGCTCTTCACACAAAGATTATTCACAGATACTTTTCTAGTTCTCTCCTTGGGTGAATGGGCTGGAATCCAATGCAAAAATGATACCTGTTTTTCGTAGTTTTCTTGTTTTATATAAAGTTTGTATTCGTTATTAATGGGGACTTAGAGATTATTTATGCATTATTTATTATAGAAGGATGTTTTTATTGTCCTTTTTTTTTTTCACATCCATAGGGATGTGTAACAAAAAAAGCCAAAATCAGGAAGAAGGATTTTTTTACTATTATTTTATTAGGAAATCTAAAAGAGAGGACTATAATATTTTAATCATATAGTTACTATTTTTAAGCCAATCATAAGGTGATAAATGTCAAGTCATTAGTTTGAAAAGTTTAGAGTCAACTCAATGCTAGTTCTTGGCCTGAGCATCTTTTCTTTTTTCTATTTTTATTCTATGGCATATTGACAATTTTTGTGATGCACACAATAAGCAAAGAGAACATAAAAAGAGCTCTAAATTGCAAAGCATCTTGTTCTGAGAAGAGGGAATTCAATAATCTTTTTTTGGAAATGGAAAGGTGAACAGAATTTAAAGCCCTCAAAAAGGCATAGTCTAAAATTATAATGGTTAGTGCTAGTGAGCAAGTTAGAATATTACTCCTGTTATGCCAGTTGGCATGCAAGACTTCCACTTAGCAATAAAGAATGTTGCTAATGTGCCTCGAGTGTTTCTAAATTCAAATTAAATACTTCCTCATTTTGTGTGTGTGCTGGGACCATTCTTTCATGGCTTGAATAGATCAAACTGTGTTACTCAGGCTGCTGTGCCCAGCTTGATGTAAAGATGAGAAAAAATAAGATAATTTTAGAGGTTGTTTTTGACTCAGAGTTTCTTAGCTCATAGTGTTACTTTATGAAAGAACTTACCAGTTGAAATCATGTATGTATTAACAGTAACAAGCATTGCAATGTCAGGACAGGTTAACAATCCTTCATGTCTAGAAAGCTCCACACTAACCAATGTGGCATACATTAGAAATAGAATTAAAGCCATCAAATGCATGTCACCTATGGCAAAAAAAATGTTTTTCTTTATCTGTTTAGTAATCATTTGAGATGCTTATTTTGCCATTACAAATTCCTTTTTTTTTCCTGCATATTCATATCTAGGTTTTCTTGAAACTGAAAATACTTATTTTCTCTAATTTGATCTGATTTAAAAGCTATGATTTTCAGAACATACTGAGAACTTCCCACTCAGTGATACTTCATTTGAGTATAGAAAAAGATAAGACATCCAAAATGATTACTTATTTGTGCAAACCTGGAAATAAATATGTAATATTTCCCTGAGTGTTCTTTAGGCATTTGCTTTTGAAAGAGTTCATAGCAATGACCTAAAATTCAAATCACATGAGTTAGCTCAATAGACAAATTTTTATTCTGTATGCAGCACCTAAACTGGGCTGCTGCAGCTTGTCTGTGAGAAGGTGTCAATTCAGAAAAGGCTAGAAACCCTAATTGTGCCATTTTGTGGTTGAGTCATGCAGAGGAAGTGCTTTCTTTAGTCCTGTGTTCTCCTTCTCTCTGAGTGCATATAAAATGGTACAGCAGGCTGGCAGTAAGAAAATAATTTCCCTTTCTGTTTGCATAGTGTGTAACATTTTGACTTACTATAAATTAACACAAAGCCTCATCCTTAAAAGCATCTCTGTTCACCTCTATCAGTGCTGTCTAGGACTTTTCCTCATAGGGGAACACTGTGAAAAACTGATCTTGC